TACATTACAAACACCATAACAGTATACAATCAAACTTATGTTGTACATAACCAACCTACATATAATCACACTAACTATATAACACACACTATAACTGCACACACTCTGACAGTTGCTAACCCACTATATCTGTGTATAATCAACTTCACACTGTGTCATACATAACAACAGTGTATAAGCACTCACACACTGTACCATAGCAGAGTTAACGTGTATAATCACCACACAGTGCATAATACACACAGTAACTGTATACAATCATTCTCACACCGTATCTCATACATGATATAACTGTACACAATTACCTCCACACTCTAAATAATGCACATATACTGTATAGTCACTCTCATCATACCTAATTCACTATAATTCCATAATTATCTTCGTACTGTAATATGCATACGCTATATCTGTGCATTGAGACTCTCAGTGGACATAGCACATGTAATAACTTTATAATCAACTTTACACTACATAATACATGTCATAATTATGTGTCATCAAATTTTCAGTGTACATAGCAACCATTGTGGCTTTGGAGTATCACTGGCACATTTACACAATGCCCCGTAGCAAGTGTAAATGATTCTTACACTGTATATAACACACCATCCCTGTGTGTAACTAATCACTCATATGGTAATTACGTACTATAAATTACATGATTACTCATGCTGTACATAACTATTTTATCTTTCACACACCACGCTTAACAAACTCTAGGTTTGTATCAGCACTCTTAAACTGTACATCCAATACAGCTGTTTAGAATTTCACTTACACTATAACTCCGCATAATCAACATCACACAGACAAAGTCAATACAGTGTGGAGCTGGCGGAACACAGCAGGTCAGGCAGCATCAGAGCAGCAGGTAAGTCGATGTTTCAGGTTTACTCCCTTCATCAGGACTGGGGAAGGGGAAGGGAGCTCGGAAATAAATAAGGGGGAGGTGGGGCTGGGGGAAGGTAGGTGGGATAGTGGAGATTGGTCAGTGGGAAGGGTTGGGCGAATAGGTGACAAAGAAGATGGACAGGTTGTGTCAGGTCAAGGAGGCAGGGATGAGAAGGAGGGTTGGACATGGGATGAGGCTGGGGGTGGGGACATTTTGAAACTGGTGAATTCTATGTTGAGGTCATCGGGTTATAATCTCCTGAGGTGGATTATGAGGTGTTCTTCCTCTAGTTTGCGTGTGGTATCATTGTGACACTGGAGGAGGCCCAGGATGGACATGTCAGCAAGGAAGTGGTAGGGGGAGTTAAAATGGTTGGCAACCAGAAGATGTTGTTGATTATGGCATACAGAACACAGATGCTCCGCAAATCAATCACCGAGTCTGCACTTGATCTCACCGTTACAGAGGAGACCACATCAGGAGCAACATTACAGTAGACAAGGATGGAGGATGTGCAGGTGAATCCCTGTCAGATTTGGAAAGATTGATTGGGACCTAGGATGGAGGTGAAAGCGGAGGCATAGGGACAGGTGTAGCACCTCCTGCAGTTGCACAGAAAGGTTCTGGGTATGGTCAGATTGGTGGGGAGTGTGAAACAGACGATGGAGTCTCGGAGTTAGCAGTCCCTACGAAAGGCAGATAGGGTGAGAAGGAAAATTTCTCTTTGGTGGTGGGGTCGGATTGGAGCTGGCAGAAGTGGCGGAGGATGATGCGCTGGGTGTGGAGGTTGGTGGGATGGTATGTGAGGACCATGGGGACTCTGTCCTTATTTTAGTTGGGGGGAGGGGGTTTGAGAGCAGAGGTGCAGGAAATGCAAGAGATGCAGTTGAGGGCATTATGAATCACCTGAAGGGTGGAAGTTGCGGTCCTTGAGGTAGGAGGACATCTGGAATGTCCGGGAATGGAATACTCCAGCTTGGGAGCAGATGCGGCGGAGGTGGAGGAATTGGGAGTATGGGATCACATTATTGCAGGAGGGTGGGTGAGAGGAGGTGTAGTCAAGGTAGCTATGGGAGTCATGGGTTTGAAATAGATGTTGGTGCTGAGACGGTTACCAGAGATGGAGGTGAAGATGGAGATGGAGAGGTCCAGGAAGGGCTGAGAGGTATCGGAGATTGTCCAGGTGAATTTGAGGTTGGGATGAAAGGTGTTAGTAAAGTTGATGAACTGTTCAAGCTCCTCATGGGAGCACAAGGCAGCACTGATACTGTGATCAATGTAGCGGAGGAAGAAGTGAGGGATGGAGCCAGTGTAACAGCAGAAGAGGGACTGTTCCATGTATCCTATGAAGAGGCAGGCATAGCTCGGACCCATACGGGTGCCCATAGCCACCCCTTAGTTTGTAGAAAGTGGGCAGAGTTAAAGGAAAAGTTGTTGAGGGTAAGGACAACTACCATTAAGTGGATGAGGGTGTCGGTGGAGGGGGACTGGTTGGGTCTATGGAGAGGAGAAAGTGGAGGGCTTTTAGGCCATCTACGTGGGGGATACAGGTGTACAGGGACTGGATGTCCATGGTGAAATCACAATGGACATCCAGTCCCTGTACACCTGTATCCCCATGCAGATGGCCTAAAAGTCCACAGGCCCAATGAGTACCCCTCTGCCAACATCCTCATCCACTGTCCTTATCCTCAACAACTTATTTTTTAACTCCCACAGTTCTTACAAACTAAAGGGGTGTCTATGGGCACCCGTATGGGTCCAAGCTATGCCTGCCTCTTCATAGGATACATAGGACAGTCTCTGGTCCGCCGTTACATTGGCATCATCGCTCACCTCTTCCTCTGCTACATTGATGACTGTATCAGCACTGCCTCGTGCTCCTATGAGGAGCTTGAAAAGTTCATCAACTTTACTAACACCTTTCACCCCACCTTTAAATTCACCTGGGCCACTTCTGACCCCTCCCTCCCCTTCCTAGACCTATCCGTCTCCCGTAGCCGTCTCAGCACCAACATCTATTTCAAACCCACCGACTCCAATAGCTACCTTGACTACACTTCCTCTCACCCACCCTCCTGCAAGAATGCAATCCCATACTCCCAACTCCTCCACCTCCACCGCACCTGCTCCCAAGATGGAGCATTCCACTCTCGGACATTCCAGATGTCCTCCTACTTCAAGGACCATAACTTCCACCCTCCCGTCATTCATAATACCCTCAACTGCATCTTTTGCATTTCCCGCACTTCTGCCTTCAAACTCCCTTCCCCTCAACAAAAATAAGGACGGAGTCCCCTGGTCCTCAAATACCACCCCATCAACCTCCGCATCTAATGCATCATCCTCCACCACTTCCGCCACCAACAATCCAACCTCACCACCAAAGACATATTTCCGCCCCACTCCTATCTGCCTTTCGTAGGGACTGCTCAATCCTCGACTCCCTCATTTGCTCCACACTCCCCACTAGCCTCACAACACTGGCACCTTTACCTGAAACCACAGCAAGTGCTACACCTGCCCCTACACCTCTTCTCTCACCTCCGTCCAAGGCCCTAATCAATCTTTCCAAATCCAACAAGGATTCACCTGTACGTCCTCCAAACTTGTCTACTGCGTCCGTCACTCCCGATGTAGTTGCCTCTACATTGGTGAGGCCGAGTGATCAATCAAGGCTTGGTTATCGTTCACAGAGCATTTGAGCTCTGTTCACTATAATCAACTACACCTTCCTGTTGCCAACCATTTTAACTCCCCCTCCCACTTCCTTGCTGACATGTCCATCCTGGGTCTCCTCCAGTGTCACAATGACGCCACACGTAAACTAGAGGAACAACACCTCATATTCCACCTCGGGAGATTACAGCCTGATGACCTCAATATAGAATTCACCAGTTTCAAAATCTCCCCACCCCCCAGACTCATCCCATGTCCAACCCTTCCTCTCATCCCTGCCTCCTTGACCTGACACAACCTGTCCATCTTCTTTCTCACCTATCCACCCCATCCTTCCCACTGACCTCTCCACTACCCCCTACTTGCATCCATCTATCACCATCCCACCTACCTTCCCACAGCCCCACCCTCCTATTTATTTCTGAGCTCTACTCCCCCTCCCCAATCCTGATGAAGGGTGTAAACCCGAAACATCAACTCTCCTGTTCATCTGATGCTATCTGACCCACTCTGTTCCTCCAGCTCCACACTGTATTAACTGTGACTCCAGCATCTGCAGTTTCTGCTATCACATGGACAAAATGGAGTGAAAAATTGCCCATTGGAGTTCTAAATTTCCAAGTAATTCCCATGTAGTTAGTGTGTTGGCCTGTGTTTTGGTGATATATCTGGTATCCAACCATTCAGAGATCAGAAGATCTGGACCTTAAAGTCCGTAAATCTTTATAATTCCTTACATGACAATCATCCTTCCTCACACACACCGTGAACCCCACCGCCACACAAACAGCCTCTCATGGAACAGTTCAGTGGTTTTGTGACCATTCTTAATGAGTATTTTTTTAATTCAAAATCCCCCAACCACCATGATGGGATTCGAACCCATGTCATTGGAGGGCCATTATGGGCCGGTGGGTAACTATTCCAATAACATTATACCATTACACTACCTCTAAAAGGGCAACATGTCTCAATCCTGTTGAGTCAGAGGGCTGTGCGCACTCTCCCCGTGTGCAATGCTGCAGACATTTCAATGGACTCAATGATGGATATCCATTGAGTCACGAACCAGTCACTCACTGAAATGGGAATACCTTGTGTGAGGAATGAACCTGCAAAGCTGTCAGCTCTGGCTGGGTTTTCCAAAGACAACCTCAGCTTGCCTTGCATTCTGAATCGATCAATATTACATCATAGAGAGCTGGCAGAAGCTTTAAATCAGTGGTGACAGCAAACCAAGATATTTTCTGTACAACATGTTCAGAGATATCATTACACCTTTCTGGAATAGGTGGGACTTGAACCTGATACCCTTGTCTCAGATGTAGGGGCACTACTACTGCACCACAAGAGCCCCTTCGCAGCAAGCCAACTGTCAGATCAACTGTCCTGTGTTTAATTAGCTGGCCCTCATTACAATTGATGCTCACTGTTCTTGATTGGTTACATCTGGGTGTTGACTGAATGCCGCAACACAAAACTCCATGAAGTATGAGCACCGGACAGCTGTTCCACAGAGCAGACCAGGACTTACCCTCTCACCAGGTTCACCCATGGGTCCGGGAGGTCCTGCTGCACCTGGGGGGCCAGGCTGACCCTGTCAACAAGACCATACAAAAAAAGTAATTCAAGGCTAATACAACGGACAAGTTCCAAAGCCTGTATCAGCATCGCTATCACCAAGTGAACTTCCTCACCTTCTCAATTGCAATTGTCTGAGGGACAACGTGGCATGGAGCAGCAGAGGAATGCAGGAATGGAATTAGATCACGCTTGACTCACGAAGAGTCTGAGAGAGAAAGGCCAAAAGAATAGAGAAGGTGGTCAGCGAGAAGGAAAAAGAGAAAGGATTGCATCCAATATATGGGACAGAAATAGACCATCAGATCAACCAGTCCACTTAGGCTCCACTCAAACTCTAGCTTCCTTGTATGTCCAGACCTGTCACCATAACTATCTATTCCCTTCTGCCTCATGCACTTGTCCAGTTTCACCTGAAATAAATCTCTACCATTCATATCAACCACTCCCTGTGGCAGCAAAGTTCACATTCTCACCACTCTCTGGCTGAAGTTCCTTCAGAATTCTCAGTTGGATTTCTTGATGTTTGTCTGATATTGATGACCTCTGGTAAATCTCTTCTTCACTTGAGGTAACACTTGCTCCATATCCACTCTATCAAAGCCTTTCATCATTTAAAATACTTCTGTTAGGTAACCGATTAATCTTCTCTTGACTCAGACTGCTAACCCTTTTCTGGTATTACACTGTCACATTTGTGGTATTATCTTTATGAATCATCTCTGCACCCTCTCCAGTGCCTCTATATCCTTTCTAAAAACTAGCAATCAGAACTATACCCAGCAATCAACGTATGCTCTAAAAAAACTCAGTGCAAGTTGAGCATAACTTAACCACTCTTCAGTTCAATCCCTCTACAAATATAGGTCAATGCTACATTTTCACTTTTGTCAAAAATTTATTTGCTAATTTGTGCTGCAACTTTTGGTGATTGGTGTACTTTTATTCAGAGAGCTCTTGATTCCTGTACTTCACTGAGACTTGACACTCCAACAGGCTTTCCGTCAAAAGGAGCAGAAGATCGAGAAAGGATGCAAGAAAGTAGGGAAAGTTGTGTTGAGTGAGTGAAAAAGAGAGACAGGTAAGGACAGAAGGTGAGTGAAGAGAGAGAGAGTGAGAGAGACAGACAGTGCATGGGAAAAATGAGAATGGCTCCAAAGAAGGTTGATGCCAAATGCAGAGACTGTTCTGGAATCAAAGCTGAAGGATGCAGTAGGAATGGCACCATGAAGAAATGCCAGCTTGGTGGTTGGAGGAGAATAGGCATGGAAACCATTGGACGAGTCCTGCAGGATTGTCCAGGGTCTCCTGACAGGGCAATGAGGGCCCAGGATTATGTGGTAATTAAAATGGCAGCCTCTCTGACAGTGCCTCACTCCTTCGGTGTGGCACAACCGAGGCTGCTGAGCTTGACAAGAGTCCAGCAGTATATCCTTCTCACTCAGAGGTTGGCTCTTGAAGCAGGATGTATCCACCTTGGTCACAAACAGTCTCTTCAGCTCAGCCTTCATTTCCATCTCTCTCCGTGCATCCTGTCTTTTTCTCTCCTTCCACTCTCTGCTCTCCCTCTCACCATCTTCCACAGTCTCTCTCTCTGTCCCCATACTTTGCCCTCTCACTTTATCTATCTTCCACTCTCTGCTCTCCATCCTTCTTCCACCTGCTCTCCCTTCTCTCTTTCTCTACTCTTCACCCGCTCTTACCTTGCCCTCCACCCTCCCTCTCTTGTAACATCTTCTCTCCAACTCCCTCTCAATGTACATCTTTGTCCCCTCCTTTCTATATCTCCAACTCTCCTCTCCACACTTGCTCTTTTCATCCTTCTCTCACTTTCTATCTCTTCCACATTCCCTCTCTCACCTGTTTCCCAATCTGTCTCCCCTCCACACTCCCTTTCTAGCCTTCATCCACTTGCTCGCTGTCCACCACAATCTCTCTCTAACCTTCTTCTACATTCTCACTTTGTCCTGAGAGACTGAGGGGCTGAGAGATGGAGGACCAGGGGGATTGAGAGGCTATGGGTGGTAGGAACTGAGAGATGGAGGGACTGAGAGACTCTGAGACAGAGGGATTGAGGCACTGAGCAGCTGTGGGACTAAGGACCTAAGGGTTTGAGGGGATGAGGGACTGAGAGAAACAGGGTGTGAGGGACGGAAAGACTTAGAGAAACAGGAACTGAGGGACAGAGAGACTGAGGGGATGAAAGACTGATTGATGAAGGGACAGAGAGACTGATAGACGAAGGGATGGAGAGACTGATAGACAAAGTGGCTGAAAGGACTGAGGGTTTGAGGAGATGAAGGGATAACGGACTAAGAGTCTGAGAGATTGTGAAACTGAGGGACAGAGAGACTGAGGTACTGAAAGATTGAGGGACAGAGGGACTTAGAGACTATGGTACTGAAGGAGTAAGAGACTGAGGGATTCATCTCCTCTGGGACTGAGAGATTGAGGATCTGATGGGCTGAAGGGATGAGGGACTAGGAGATTGACAGATTGAGAGACTGAGGAACTGATGGAATGAGAGGCTGAGGGATTGAGCGGCTGAGGGACTGTGTTTGGGAGGATGAGGGATTACGAGACTGAGAGACTTGGGGATTGCGGAACTGAGGGAGAGAGTGACTCTGACTCTGAGTGACTGAGAGACAGAGGAACTGAGGGGATGAGAGACTGAAGGACTGATAGATGGAGGGATGGAGAGACTAAGAGACAGAGGGACTGAGGGGCAGAGAGACTGAGGAACGGAGTCACCAAGGGACAGAGAGATTGAGACTGAGTGGCTCTGGGTCTGA